AATTCAATAACTTTTCTCTGAAGAAGGAAGCAGTTGTATATCAATTTGCTTCTGTGCTTTCTTAATCTATTTTTTTTCTCTATTCAATCTTTTATTTTTTTATTTTTAATAACAGTTTACATACATTAGTTTCAGGTACAGCATAGTGGTCAGACATTTGTATACCTTATGAAGTAACCGCCCTAATAAGTCTAGTACCCATCCGGCATCATACATAGTTATTCAAATATCAGTCATTCTGTTACTCCCTGTGGTCTACTTTGTGTCCTCATGATGACTTTTGTAACTGGCAATTTGCACTACTTAATCTCTTCACCTTTTTTTGCCCATTCCTCACCTTTCCCCAATTTAGCAATCATCAGTTCTCTGTATGTTTCTGTTTTGTTTGTTCGTTTATTTTGTTTTTTAGGTTATGTATACGTGAAATGATATATAGTATTTTTTTTTCTGTCTGACATTTCTATTAGCATAATACCCTCTAGGTTCATTCAGCCTATTTTTCATTTTTTAAAAAAAAAATTTAAAAATAGACCCAGCTGGTGTGGTTCAGTGGATTGAGTGCTGGTCTGCAAACCAAAGGGTCTGTGGTTCAATTCCCAGCCAGGGCACATGCCTGGGTTGAGGGCCAGGTTCCTTGTGGGGCGTGCAAGAGGCAACCAAACATTGATGTTTTTCTCTCCTTTTTTTTTCTCTTCCCCTCTCTCTAAAAACAAATAAAATATTTTTAAAAAATGTATGCTACCTGTAAAGATTTAATACCTACTTTCCAAAGGCAATTAACCCACTGTTATTTAGTAAATTCAATTTTTTTAATTGATTTTTTTTTCTTAATAGATGATTTGCATCAGTGGTCTCAAACATTTTTGGCACCATGGACCAGTTTCATGGAAGACAGTTTTCCATGGAAACAGGGCTGGTGGTAGGGGGGGATAGTTTGGGGATGATGATTCAAGCACATTACATTCAAGCTCACCTCCTATGTGCCTGTTTCTTAGCACGCCTGGATAGGAGCAGTCTGGCTCAGATGTTGGGGACCCCTGATTTACATGTTTCAATATTTTAAAAATATCAAACAATAATACAATGGAGACACCTTACCCTTTTCCCTCCACTACTCAGTTTCCCGTCTTGGAGGCAGTTAATATTGTTAGATCCTTGTGTACTTCTTTAAGGCACATTTTATGCCTTTTGAGCAAATGTGTGTATTTGCTCTGTGAGTGTTATCTTTTTTGAAGTCACAAATGTTAGCATGCTGCACATATTTTCTTAGATACTATTTGTATTAAATTTTTTGAAAATTAGATAACATGCCCCTGGTTGGTGTGGCTTATTTTGTTTGAGCATTGTCCTGTTCACCAAAAGGTCGGGAGTTCAGTTCCTGATCAGGGCACAGACGTAGGTTGTGGGTTCCATCCTCGGTTAGGGTTTATATGGGAGGCAACTGATTGATGTTTCTCTCTCACATCCATTTACCTCCCTCCCTTCCTCTCTCCCCCCCCTCCCCCGGCTTCCTCTAAAATCAAACATTTGAAAACATTTTTTAAAAAGTAGATAAAGTTCCCCTGGCTAGCGTAGCTCAGTGGATTGAGCGCGGGCTGCGAACCAAAGTGTTGGAGGCTTGATTCCCAGTCAGGGGCACGTTCCTGGGTTGCAGGCCATGACCCCCAGCAACTGCACATTGATGTTTCTCTCTCTCTCTTTTTCTCCCTCCCTTCCCTCTCTAAAAATAGATAAATAAAATATTAAACAAAAAAAGTAGATAAGGTTCATTGCTCAAAAATAAAATATTGTAGTCTTGGATAGACCCCCTTCTATCCTGCTATGTACTACCCTTCAGTGAGTTTTTATGCATTATGAAAGCAAATAAGATGTGTATATTATTTCCTTCCTCCTGTAACTCTTAGACTAACCTTTTCACATCTAATAAGGCAGTATGGAATAGATGTTGAGAGCAGTGGCTTGGCCAGCTCCTTGCATTCAGATTTGCTCTGCCACATAACAGCTGTGTGGGGGCAAGTTATTTAACTTATCTGTACTTTGCTTTGAATAGTAAGTACTATTCAAATACATGCTAAGTAAGAAATACATACATTTGCTAGTAGTAGCATTTTTATTAAAGACAGTGACTAATAAAATACTGTCAAAGAACCAGCCCTGGCTGGTGTGGCTCAATGGATTGAGTGCTGGCCTGCAAACTTAAAAGTTGCCAGTTAGATTCCCAGTGAAGGCAAATGCCTGGGTTGCAGGTCAAGTCCTTAATTGGGGGCGTGTGAGAGGCAACCAATTGATATTTCTCTCACACATTGACACATCGATGTTTCTCTCCCTCTCATTCTCCCTCCCTTCCCCTCTCTAAAAATAAAATCTTTTAAAAAATAGTATCGTGCCCTGGCTGGTGTTGCTCAGTGGATTGAGTGCTAGCCTGTCAACCAAAGGGTTGCTGGTTCAATTCCCAGTCAGGGCACATGCCTGGGTTGCAGGCTGGGCCCCCAGTGGGGGTTGTGTGGGAGGCAACCACACATTGTTGTTTTTCTTTTTCTCTCTCCCTCCTTCTCCTCTCTAAAAACAAATGAAATATTCTTTAAAAAATAGTATCAAAGAATCAGTATCAATTTTATTAATATTAATGATATATATGGATATGGTTAAATTCATTAACAGAAAAGGATAGATGGGTTCATCACTTCAATTTTACTTATATACATTTTAGAAAACTTTAGGAAACAAAATTAAAGCAGTTAAAAAATATTTTGTTCCTTATTATGGCTTGATGGTTTTATGTTTTTGCACATATTTGTTTAAACTAAACAAACTTTATGTAATGAAGGTGTCCCAGAGAAGGTGAAGGTAGAGATGGGTGCTAAGAATATAAACTTTTTTGCATAGAGTATCACATTTTAAAAATGCTTTCTCATGCTTTTCCCACTCAAATGTGGTTAAAATACATACATATCTACATATAATATTTAGTTTTAGATGATGATCTTCCAATTTTAAAGTTTTAAAATTTAGGATCAAATCACTAGTAACATTAAAAGTGTTTTTTTCTTTTTGTTTTTTGTTTTTTTGTTTAGATTCCTAACAGACTCATTATATATTTTTTAAAGATTTTATTTATTTTTTAGAGAGGGAAGGGAAGGAGAAAGAGAGAGAGAGAGAGAAACATCAATGTGCAGTTGCTGGGGGTCATGGCCTGCAACCCAGGCATGTACCCTGACTGGGAATCGAACCTGCATCACTTTGGTTCGCAGCCCGCGCTCAATCCACTGAGCTATGCCAGCCATAAAAGTTTTTAAGGCAAGGAGTAGGCTGGAGGACTAAATTGTATTTTTATTTAATTTGTTCATCCTCAATTTTTGTTTTAATAAAAAAATCAAAGGAACAACCAAAGCTGTCTTCCCCTTCCACCTTCAGATTCCCACTACAAAATAATTTACATTCATTGTAGAAAATGTAAAAACAGAAATACTATATGCACTGGTGTTTTTTGTTTGGGTTTTTAAACTTAGTTTCATGAATGCTTTAATATCATTAAATTATCTATAGTATCATTTCTAATAGGTGCATCATATTCTATTGGGCACATATGCCATGCTGAAATTTACCTTGTATTTATTGCCTACCCAAGGGCATTTTAAAAATGAACTGTATCCGTGCACATCTGGTAGATAAGTGTTTTTGGATATATATATTTTCTTATGATAAATTCTGAGATGGTGTTACAGGGTTGCAGGATATGTACTTTTTTCATGCTCCAGATAGTTGCTATCTCCCTACATGCTTGCCAGCATGGGGTGTTGTCTTTAGGTAGGTCCATGCTTGTTTGAAATGTGAATTACTCCCCTTCTGATTTAGTGCAAATTCTCTTTCCTTGCCTCTAGAACCATCTCTTTCTTCTTCTCTACTTCCTGTTTTCCTATTCTTTTATATCCTTCCTCCTTGCCACCTAATACTTCATAGAAACTGGCATGGAAAGAGAGGATTTGATGCAGGCTAGAGAAGTTGTTTCAGGTACTATTTACCTCACTCTTCACTTGCTTCTTACTGTATAACATGTTCTTGGAGCTCCTCTTGTACAGTACCCAGTTTTTCAAAGATCATTTCTCTCAGTTTTATAGATTCTGATTTTCACTTTTGTGGTTTTTAGTGACAGTTAATCTAATACATTGTGATGTGACCCCATATTCTAGCACAGTGGTTAAGAGAACTATCTCTGCATTCTAGTAGACCAGGTTCAGATCCCAGCTCCTTGTTCTTATTTACTGGTGTTGGAATCTAGGGTATGTTGTTTTAACCCTTCCAGTCCTCTTCTTTCACATTTTTCTCATTTTTTTTTCAAAATGGAGATAATGGTAATACTTTTCTTAGGATTTTGTTAGGATTTCAAGTACTCAATACATTATATAACATTTAGTAATTACTCAGTAGGGTATCTTTTGTCTTACCATCTCATCTGACATGTATGAAGGAAGCAGGGATTATTTTTCTCATTCTTCATTTGAGTCAATGGGATCAGAAAGATGGGATACTTTTCCTGTCATCACACCTAGAGAGTGGTAGTGTCTGAATGTGAATTTAGGACTTTTGTTTCAGGAATTACTGCCTGAGTAGAACTACTGCTTAACGTAGGAAAACTAAAGTTAATGACAAGAATTGAATTGTGCCTAATAATTAGGATAATATAGGAACAGCATGAAAAGTTTAAAAAGCTTTAGGTACTGGGGCTTGAGAGGTATAGCTCCAAAAAGCCTTGACTAGCCTACCAGCAAATAGGTGAGAAGATGAAGTTAGTTCCTGAGCATCTTAGCATGGAAAGAGAGGTTGCTATATATCCATAAGGATCCCAGACACAAAGACAAAAGAGTCTTTAAAAAGTTTAAGAAGATAGCTCTAGGATCAAAACATTTAATAGGTTTCTGTACTTTGATTCAAGGTAGAATGGAGTCTTGCTTTAAATATATATGACTGACTAGGTTTTTATGTTAACTTGTTTCCAACAGGGCATGGTGCTGATGTGAAATGTGTAGACTGGCATCCAACAAAAGGGTTAGTTGTTTCAGGAAGTAAAGATAGTCAACAACCAATCAAGTTCTGGGATCCCAAGACTGGCCAGAGTCTTGCAACACTGTAAGTGACAGGAATCCCACCTTGGTCCCTAAACAAAGGAACAAGGCTGCTTGTGTTCTTTTAACTTTTAGCTTTCTCTTCTCATGTATTTTAAAAAAGTGGTTTAGACAACAGATACACTTTTATCTACAGCTTTCTTATTAATTAAATATGGTTTTATCTTGGAATTGCTAATGAAATAAGGATTGGTTTTTATTCTGCCTTATACGTAAATGTAAATTTAATTTGGGTGTCTCAGGGGTGGGGTGGGGTGGGGTGGAGATTGAGAAGGAGGTGGTCATTACTATTCTTACTGTCCCTCATTATAAACATTTTAGCATTACAAGGAGTTGATGTTTATGTCCCTTACTAGACATATAGCCCAGTTTTGTCCATCTCACTCCATCTATTTATAGAGAAGTTTTTCCTTCATTTTTGAATCAGTTCTTATTTTTTTGCTTTAGGTGCTTATTTTTGATTCACCTAATACAATTTTCTCTTTGAATTATCTGTAAACATTCACAGTGATAGGAATGTGTTGTTAATGTATTTTTGACCAAGCAGCTGTATCCTGGTCCTTCTGATTGGGAATGAGCCATATCCAGAGTGAGCAGGTGGGAGCAGGACTGCCATGTTGCACACCTCCAATGTCCATTGTCAACTTGAATGCCATGGGAATGGTGCCTTGGAGCTGTGCATTGTGCAGGCTTCGGCTTGTTGCAGAGTCTCAACTTCAAATTAACAAATGAACAATCCCATGCTCTTTTCTGTGTTTTAATGAGAGGAGCCTCATTAAAGCTTTATTGAATAGTAATTTACATGTTCAAATGCTTCCCCTGCTTCAAAGTTAAACTTGTATATCCAGCTGAAGCTCTGCTGCTATTTTAATTGATTAAAGAAAGCAGTGCTTAGATAATGGACATTGTTTCTGTCATTGACCTATTTATTTCAAGTGTACTTTTAACTGTGGCACTATAATGTTATTACTTCATGCTTTATTACTTCTAGGCTAAGCCTTTTGCCATCTGGACCCATGTGCTTTTCAATAAAAATGGCCATTATGTGGATTTAGACTTATTTTGCATTCTTATATTAATTTCTTGGTACTTTGTTTCTAGTCATGCCCATAAAAACACAGTGATGGAAGTAAAGTTAAACCTCAATGGCAATTGGCTACTCACAGCATCACGTGACCATCTCTGTAAACTGTTTGATATCCGAAACCTGAAAGAAGAGCTTCAAGTTTTCCGAGGTCATAAGAAAGAAGCCACAGGTCAGTGACTGTCAGATATGCTTCTCATTCTGACTGTTGCCTGTAGCATTCTAAAGTTCTGATAATTTTGTGTTTTCTCTATGTTTGTGTTTTATAGCTGTGGCCTGGCATCCTGTTCATGAGGGGCTTTTTGCTAGTGGAGGGTCTGATGGCTCTTTGTTATTCTGGCATGTTGGGTATGTAACACTTACTGTGTAAAGAAGGTGTGTATTTTATGAAGAGAGCACTTGAAAGTGTAAAACATGATAACCCTTGTATTTTTCCTGAGTGTTCATACATCCTGTTTGTATCACAGACTTCCTGCAGTTTCCAATTTTGGACACCCAGGTTGGAATAGAAAACTTAGCACCTTTATTTTTGGATATAAAAGTCATTAGGAGTGAATTAAGAGTGTTTCTTATTGGTGAAATCATTCTTGAAGAATTTATCCCTCTGAATTTTGGGGGGGAAAAGAATATATTACTGATGATAAATCAATACCCCTGAAACATGTGGAAATGACAGAATCAAAGTAACAGGCTTTGGTAGTTTCAGCTTTGTGCTATACTAAAATAAATTTTTTTAAGTATATTTCATTGATTACACTATTACATTTGTCCCAGTTGATTTCTCCCCTTCATCCCCCTCTGCCCTACACTCCTTCCACCCTCCAGCATTCCACCGCCCTCCCCCCACCCTGTAGTTCATGTCCATAGGTTGTACATGTAAGTTTTTTGACTTCTCTATTTCCTATGCTATTCTTAACCTCCCCCTATTTATTTTATATTTACCATTTATGTTTCTTGTTACCTGTACCTTTCCCCCCATTCTCCCCTTCCCTCTCCCCACTGATAACCCTCCATGAGATCTCCATTTCTGTGATTCTGTTCCTGTTCTAGTTGTTTAGTTTTTGCTTTTGTTTTTTAGGCTCAGTTGTTGATAGTTGTGAATTTATTGTCACTTTATAAGTTCCTTTAACATTTCATATAATAAGGATGAACTCCTTTAACTTGACCTTATGTGGGAAGCACTTTATCTGCCCTCCATTCTATACGATAGCTTTATTGGACAGAGTAATCTTGGATGTAGGTCCTTGCCTTTCATGACTACGAATACTTTTTTTCCACCCCTTTCTTGCCTGTAAGATTTCTTTAGAAATCAGCTGACAGTCCCATGGGCACTCCCTTGTAAGCAACTCTCCTTTCCTCCCGCTGTTTCCAAGATTCTCTCCTTATTTTCAGTCCTGGGCATCTTAATTATGATGTACCTTGGTGTGTTCCTCTTTGGGTCCGGTTTCTTTGGGACTCTCTGGACTTCCTGGAAGTCTATTTCCTTTGGCAGATTGGGCAAGTTTTCCTTCATTATTTGTTCAAATAAGTTTTCAATTTCTTGTTCTTCTTCTTCTCCTTCTGGCAACCCTATGATTCGGACATTGGAGCGCTTAAAGTTGTCCCAGAGATTCCTATGCCTCTCCTCATATTTTTGAATTCTAGTTTCTTCATTCTGTTTTGGTTGGATGTTTATTTCTTCCTTTTGTTCCAAATTGGCATTCCTTAATTTTGCAAACGAACTCAATCGATTCTCTGAGCATCCTGATCACCAGTGTTTTAAACTCTGCATCTGACAGCTTGTCTGTCTCCTCGTCACTTAGCTCCTTTCCAGTGTTTTGATGTGTTCTTTCATTTGGGCCATATTGTTTTTGTCTCTGTGCACCTGTTACATTGTAAGGGCTTGGAGCCTTGGGTATTCACCGGGGTAGGGCAATCCTCTGTGCTGTGTTGTGGTGTTGTCTGTGGGGGAGAGGTCAAAGGGGGAACAATGCTGCTTGCTCTGCTCTAGCCCTACTTTCTTTCACTTTCTTTGCTTCTCACTAGTGGATTGTGCCATTTCAGATGCTGATTCCCAGGTGAATGGTCCTATGTGCATTTTAGGATCCCATGGGCCTCTCCAGTGCACTTCCCTGCACAACTAGGAGCCTCTCCTGCCTTTGTAACCCCCACAGGATTTTTATAACCAGAGGTTTTGAGTCTTTATTTTCCCAGTCAGCTAGCACCCACCTTACCCGCACGGGTTGCCACCTTGCTGGGTGTCTAGCGGCCTGTCTCTGTCTCTCCTACCAGTCTAAATGAATGTTTCTTTAATTTAACTCCTTGGTTGTTGGAGCTCCATGCAGTTTGATTTTCTGGTAGTTCTGGTTGTTTATTGGTTTTAAATTAGTTGTTATCCTTCTTTTGGTTGTGTGAGGAAGCAGAGTGTTTCTGCCTATGCCTCTATCTTGGCCAGAACCCTGATTGTTATTGCTAAAATGTTTTTTTTTTTTTATAACTGTTGTGAAAAAGACTTCTTTCTGTGGTGCTATTACAGGGTAGAGAAGGAAGTGGGTGGGATGGAGATGGCCCACGAAGGAATGATCTGGAGTTTGGCTTGGCATCCTCTTGGACATATTCTCTGTTCAGGTTCAAATGACCATACTAGGTAAGCTTTATATAAAAACAACAAGGAATTACTATATTCATGGAGCAGAAAGAAATAAGTATATACATTTTTTAATTGAAAGATTAGTGTATTAACTTGTAGTCCACTTATTCTTAGGAACATTTTTGTGATGGCTTATAAATACATATATTATATGTAAGAAAGAGATTGGGTATTGAATAGGACCTTGTTATTCAAATTTTGTTTTGCCTTCTGATTAAAAAAAATCTTCCTGAATTTTAAGTTTTCAGAAGAAAAGCATTATAAAATTGTGTTTACCAGATGACTGCTTAGTACTGTTAAGTGCCCAGAAATACACTGAAGTGATTCTACTCCCCTTCTCCTATTCACTTTCTTTTACTTTGCAGTAAATTCTGGACCCGAAATCGACCAGGTGATAAAATGCGAGATAGATATAATCTAAACCTATTACCAGGAATGTCTGAAGATGGAGTAGAATATGGTGAGGCTCTTGCATGTTTATCCTGCTTTGAAATCGGATATTCTGTTAAAATCTGTTAAGTATTGAGAAGTATTTACAAAACATTTTAACTTTACAGTTTGTTGATTTGTAAATCACTGATGGTAGGTTTCATTTTTATAGAAGTATTTTATTGGGCCAGTACATTTATCAAATCTCTGTTGATGGTGGATATATTCCTATTTATAGATGACCTGGAACCTAATAGCCTGGCAGTAATTCCAGGGATGGGAATACCAGAACAACTTAAATTAGCTATGGAACAAGAGCAGATGGGTAAGAAAAGTTATACCTATGAATTTTATTTTTATAAAATTTTATAGATCTGTTTCTTATGTTCATGATACTAAATTATTTTGGAAATGCCAAAATGATCTATGTTGAGAAATGTTGATATAAGTAATATAAACTGCATAAGATTTAAAATCTACTCTTCCAAAAAGGCATTCATTGATGAAGTGGCCACTTTCATTTCCTTGACTAATTACTTATTTTTATGATTATAGGGAAAGATGAATCAAATGAAATTGAAATGACAATTCCAGGTTTGGATTGGGGAATGGAGGAGGTGATGCAAAAAGATCAGAAAAAAGTACCTCAGAAGAAAGTTCCTTATGCAAAACCTATTCCTGCTCAGTTCCAGCAGGTGAGTGGCTGTATCTCATTCATGCATTGGAGGTTTTGCTCGGTGAGTCTGATTGAAGTTCAGAATATGTTTCTCTGGATTGTTTTATCTGTTGAAGATAATTCTGTACTATAGACTCTTTTGGAGCATTTTTTTAGATATTTCAGGCATGCTTAGACATAGTTCCCATCTGCCACTTTGCAGTTAGTGCTGAGTTTGTCATGAATTTTCTCTAGATCTTTTATTCTTACCTACTTATTATCCATGCTGTCAGAGGAAGGAAGAAAAAGGCAGGGAGCACAGAGAGTATGTTGACTTTCTCCTACATTGTCTGTCTTCTGCTTTATTTGTCCCTCAACGCAAAGTGTATTTGCCCTTTTAAAGAGGCAGGCAAGCTTTGCATTCATAATAACATGCAAGATCTTACAGCTTTTGTTAATTTAGTAATTTTTACCTAGTACTGTGTTTGCCAAATTCCATTCCTGTGTCAGTACGAATTAGCATTAGAAATAAAGACAATAAATATGTCAGGTGAGCCAGTTTGTATTCAGGAGGTTAGCATTAGCCAATTATAGAATGGTTTTCTCATTTTGTCATTATAACTTACACATCTAGGGTATATTTTAATATTTTCTTGTTTCCCCGAGGCTTGGATGCAAAATAAAGTTCCGATTCCTGCCCCAAACGAGGTACTGAATGACAGAAAAGAGGATATTAAATTGGAAGAGAAGAAAAAAACACAAGCAGAAATTGAGCAAGAAATGGCTACATTACAGTACACTAACCCACAGCTTTTGGAGGTATGTGCAGCTCTTTAGGGGGATTCAAGATGCTTAGAGAAAGTAGTGATACCATTGTTTATTGATATGCTCATAAGAAGGGATGGGATTTTCAGGTGGATCTGATAAGCACCACTGTTTCTTACTGGTATGTTAGGGAGCTAGTTTCTAGCCAGATCAGTCAAGCAGTGAGTAGACCTCAGTTAAACATATGTTTCTAATAGAAAAGATAAAGCCAACATAGCTTAAATTGGAATTCACTTATTTATCCACAGATAAAATAATTTTTCTTTCTCTGTCAGCTTTAAAGCAGGTGATTTCCTCTTAATTGTCCTACTCTCACAGCTACCAATAATGATATAACATTGGTACATTATTGGGCTTTTCCTAGTCAACGATAAATAATCCTGATTGCTGTGTCCCCAGCACCTCACTAGAGTGAGTCTAGAGGCCTGCGTGCCCTCTGGATTATCTGAATGTTAGTTACATGGACTCTTGTTGCTGTTGGGGTGTTAAGAGGTTAATGCCTCATGTTTGTTCTGAGGTACCCCCAACGAAATAAGTGACAGCAGTATTGTCATCTTCTAGGGCTCTGGCTTATTTTTCAGTATGCTTTTTCTTTCTTTCTTTCCAGCAACTTAAAATTGAAAGACTTGCACAGAAACAGGCTGAGCAAATTCAGCCTCCTCCATCTGGTACCCCTCTCCTTGGACCCCAGGCCTTTCCAGGACAAGGTCCAATGTCTCAGATTCCTCAAGGTTTTCAACAGCCCCATTCATCTCAGCAGATGTCAATGAACATGGCGCAAATGGGGCCTCCAGGTCCACAGGGACAATTTAGACCCCCTGGACCTCAGGGACAAATGGGACCACAAGGTCCTCCATTGCATCAGGGAGGTGGAGGGCCACAAGGATTCATGGGACCACAAGGGCCCCCAGGCCCACCCCAAGGGTTGCCAAGGCCTCAGGACATGCATGGGCCCCAAGGAATGCAAAGGCATCCTGGACCTCATGGCCCTTTGGGACTTCAGGGACCACCTGGACCACAGGGTAATTCTGGTCCTCAAGGTCATATGGGTCCTCAGGGTCTACCTGGCCCACAAGGTCACATAGGCCCCCAAGGCCCACCTGGTCCCCAGGGTCACATGGGCCCTCAGGGGCCTCCTGGTACTCAAGGTATGCAAGGGCCACCTGGTCCCAGAGGAATGCAAGGACCTCCTCATCCTCATGGGATACAAGGTGGGCCAGGGTCTCAGGGGATCCAAGGTCCTGTGTCTCAGGGACCTCTGATGGGATTGAATCCAAGAGGAATGCAGGGCCCTCCAGGCCCTCGAGAGAATCAGGGTCCTACTCCCCAAGGCATGATGATGGGCCACCCGCCTCAAGAAATGAGACCTCACCCTCCAAGTGGACTACTGGGACACGGCCCTCAGGAAATGAGAGGTCCTCAGGAGATGCGAGGCATGCAGGGGCCTTCTCCTCAAGGATCAATGCTGGGCCCTCCCCAAGAATTGCGAGGGCCTCCAGGCTCACAAGGTCAGCAGGGGCCGCCCCAGGGCTCTTTGGGACCTCCACCTCAGGGTGGCATGCAAGGGCCCCCTGGACCTCAGGGACAGCAGAACCAAGCAAGAGGGCCACATCCATCTCAAGGGCAAATACCATTCCAGCAACAGAAAACAGCTCTACTAGGTGATGGGCCGAGGGCCCCCTTCAATCAGGTATTACTTATTTGCAACTTGTGGGCATTACACATTGGGAAAATATACTCTGCACTGAGGTGACACTTTCAAATGCTGTGGAAAACAGTCACAACTGATATAAATGTCTCTCAAGTGGTGATACTGGCCTGAGAATAGCAATACAGCCAAAGAAGGAGATAATAATTAAATAGAACATTAAATACATCGCAATATGAGTCTACTTCTCAACCTGTTTTCTAGTAGGTGTTCTTCCATAAGAGATTAACTTTCAGTTGAGTACAGTTTTTTTTTTGAATCTCTACGGGCACTTTACTCAGATGGTCAGTGATCTAAGAAGATGGTGTGTTTGTACCCTAACAGACTGTTTTAAATTCCACTTTAAAATGGCCCTTTTTATAAGGAGAATAAATATGTAGGTAAGGGGTTCGAAATTCAGGGAAAAGTTAATTGGATTAAAAAAACTGCAGCATTTTTGCCTTGGGCAGTAGTCTTTAGCTGTGGTCATCTCACTCTGGAGGACAGTGGCTCAGATACCATCTTGAATTGCTTGCAGACACAAAGGTGGAAGTGTTTCTGGTCTCCTGGAGTCAGGGTGAGTCATACCTTCAGTTTCTGGAACAATAGCTTTTACATGCTCAGTTGAATACAGTTCCTAATTGTTCCAGGGCCCCAGAAGAGCTGTGGCCCTGGGGAGGAAGCATGGGTTCCTCTGAGTCTGCCATGCTCCATTTTCTGGGTCCTTTACTTTGTAGCATGGTGTTTCATGGGCCTGCCAGCAACAGAGCCACCTCTTATCTACCTGACAACCGTACCTTTAAAGATAGTATGGGGTGTTTAACTCACTATTTTCATTTCAGTGAATGCTTTTAGAGGTCTCTCAGTCCAAAATTACACATTTTCAGATGTTGATCCTCTGGATAAAATTCTGTTCAAATTGTTTTTAGCTTACTTACAAAAATATTTATAGGAAGGAGTATTTCTGTAGAAATTTTCTGGGCCCTCTTTTAACAATTCTGTTTCTCTCAGCCAAGTTTTATTGCCCATTCCCTGAGCTTGTGCTTGAGGGGTCATGTGAGAACAATTCATGTTGGTTGGGGAGAATTACAGAAAGACTGCACAAGCATGGATGGATTTAACATTGTTCAGCTCTGGGTTTTATGTTCTTGTGAATTTCATAGTCTGGAAGCATTATTTGGGTGAGTGAGTGAGTGAGCTAACGTTGACTCCCTTATACTCCATCCACTTGGAAGAGGACTTGCTGCAGATACTATGTGTAGAAAATACACTCTGTTAACACCTTGGAGAATTCGTAATGTGAAAGTGATGGTCAGATTTACTGAATTAAAATAAGTAGCTAAATAAGTAGATTATGTGGTACTCTTCAGTAGATCGTCCAGAACCTAAAAATGTCGCGGCAATGGAGAATCTGATGGCATTTGAGTTTATCTCCAGAATTTATTGTGCACTTTTCAAAATTTAGGATGAGTTTAATAAACCTAGGTTACCACACTGAAATTGCTGTAAAACTTGAAGTATTACATATTTTATGAATGCAGAGTGTACTTGTGTGTGTTTATAATTTACTTACACGACCTTGTGGTAGTGAATTAACAGTTTTCATTTTGGAGGATAAAAACATGAACTTTAGCTTCCACATTATGACTGAAATTACAAACATGTTAGGTTCAAGGGGACAGGTTTGCGTTTCTGGGACAATTTAATAAGAGGTTTTACTCTTAAAATGTAATAAAAGATTTTATATATGAAAAGCATAATGCCTGTAAAGATTTAATTGACATATACAAATGATGGTAGAATGAATGCGAAGGTTTGAAATAGGGTATTCCAAATCTCAGAAGTTACCTGATCAGAATGTTCGCTCATATTTTTTATATGCTGAAATCTGACATTCTTCACTTTGACCAGGTGAATTATTTAAACCAATTGTTTTAATTGGTTCAGTTTATTGGAACTGCATTCGGGTGGTAAATGAACAGTATGAGAGATGTTGGTAAGAGTTGTCCTTGGGTAAAATGGACAGAAAATGAGAGGATAGAAATGTCTGGCATTATTTATAACTATAGTGCTGTGCCTTATTAAGGCAACTCTTTCATGGAAGCTAGTTTGGATTGTGAAAAGAATTTTGCTATTGATGGTTTTGAAACAGCTATTCTCATAGTAGATCCAGTCACTAAATGCATTTTTAATATGTGGGAATACCTAGAGATTTTTGTGTGTGTTTGTCAACAGACCTGATCCAAGGTCACTGGACAGTGTGGGAAATCAGAATTTAGACATGACTAGATATAAATACAGAATATGAGGACTAACGACAAGGCTAGGTTTCAGAGCAAGGAGATTAAGAACATCAGAACAGCAGGTTTGTATCAGAAGCGGCAAGAACCAATTGAATCCATCAAGATCCCAGGTGACTAAATGGGAATGAGCAGTAGGTTGCTGAGGACAGGGGAGTCTGGAAGGTAGAGGTAAGAGGGAGGTGAAAGGAGAAAGCTCTTGTGAACACCTTGCTCATTAGGAACGTATCCCTTTCTTATTCTCCCACTGCTCCCTTTTCAAACCCAGCCCTGGTATCTTGTGAGGATGGCTGATTGTGGCTGGAAAGGAGCTGTGGATGTCGGAGCACAGCTTATCGGTCCTGGGAGATTGCCACGGCTTTCCTTTGCCAGGAGTTTCTCTATGCAGAGTGTTGTCATTATGTTATGATTTCTGACTTGCTATTGAGGTTCTTGCTTGGCATAACAAGTAAAGATCTAGCTTTAAATAAAACCTATAAGCAGGTTTAAAATATGTGTTTCCTTTTACTGTGGTAAGAGAAATATCTCCTTTTCCCCAATTTAAAGACAGTTTTGCTACAATGTCACTAGCTACATTTATTGCTGGAGGCTTTGGGGCAACCTAATGTTTTTATCTTGTCACATTATAATAAAATTGCTATTCATGAAGCACAAGCCTATGATTTCACACCCCCGCTTTAAAAACATCTTTTCAGGAAGGACAGAACACAGGCCCCCCACCCCTGATACCAGGCCTAGGGCAGCAGGGAGCACAAGGTCGCATCCCCCCTCTTAACCCTGGACAAGGACCTGGCCCTAACAAAGGTAAATATCTGTTTGGCTGAATAAGAGATTGTATTTTACCACTTTTGGGTAAATCTTACAATAAATAGTTATATTGGTAAATAATTGAATAGAATGATCATTTGCATCTCTAGGAAAATAAGAGCACAGCCACTGCAGGTAACAGCTTTGTCTTATGTTGCTTTCATTCATAAATTTGCTTTAGTTAGCCATAAATGCTGCCGGAGGGAATAAGCTCCTCACTACTGGATGCTGGTGGTAAGACACTTGGATAGCCCCCAGCAACATGGCCTGGCCCTGGTGGCCTTGTCTGTTTGCAGGAATGGGAGTGAGGCCAGTGCTCACCTATTGCAAGTGCGTTTTGCAGCAGCTGGAGAGCCGAACTGATTTGTAAATGTTTTGATGGGATAAAGAATTCAGAGATTGTAACAGTGTTTTTAGTACCACCCCATCCTCCCCTAAAGTTGTATCAGGTTTTGAGTTATGTAGCTAGTTACATTGTCCTGTACCATTTTAAAAGAAGAGAGCACATGGAAAGCACAGAGATGAGGAAATTAAGAGTTAATTTTAGGAGTTGAAAGAGTACACACTGGGAACCAGAGTCCTAGTTCCCTAAAGGATTAAGTTCTCCTAGCATCCCCTCACACCCACATGAAGAGCTCAAACTTCCTACAGTAGCAAGTGGACTGCAGGCTGTTGGAGAATTAGGGGATAGATAAGGACTGTGAAGGGAGTGTGGATGTAGGGAAGTCAGGAGGTGGAGTTGTTATATCAGTGGCAGGACACAAACCAGAGAAAGTGAGTACTATGGAGATTGCATTTCAAGGAACTTCACTCCTTTTCATTTTAATTGGCTAAGCCCACAGCTCCCTGTAGTACACCTTAGGGTTCTTGCCTCATTTTATCAGATTAAGAAGAGTCCTTTTTATCATTTTTCAGCCCCAGGACTTTGGGAATTTAAAGCTTAGTGTTGAATGTATGTAAGGTGTTTGAGGTAGGGATAAAGGAATTAGAATAATATTTAATTTAATCCCACCTTATGGAAGTGGTAGCCAACAGGGGAAAAGAAATAACAAGCATCAAGAACCAAGCTTTGGAGTTTGGGGACGGACCCTAAGAAAGAAAAGTCTTTTATCCACAAGGTATAGCCATCAACAAACTGAGAGCCTGCCTCTCTTCCTCTCCCCTACCCTATGTCTGTCTCCATCTATTTCCCTCTCCTTGTTCTTCCCCTTTTCTCTTTCTCTTTCACTTTCTCTCCCTCTCCTCTTTTTCTCTTTTTTCTTTCTTTCTTCCTTCCTCCTCTCTTTTTCCTCCCAGGGACCAAAGGGAGAAGGGAGAGCCGAGAAAGGGGCCCTGCCATCCCCTACTGGATTAACCAGCGCTGCCGCCCCATCACCGGTGGCCACATTCCTTCTAATTTCTAGTGGTGGGTTTCTTTTCTTGGATGAGCAGGGTACTTTTAAACAGATAGAGGTAATGGGAGGATTAATATACATAGGTAAGTCCAAATGGAATAATGATCAGTATCCTCAGGTCACATGTCTGCTGTATCTAAGGTCACATCAAGTTCAAACAACATAATGTCAGAGATAAGCCATTAGCTGCATGAATACACTGAGAGATGAGGATCCTATCTCCTATAAGGAAACAGACCTAGGATATTTGCAAACTGAGCATGGAGAGGACTGGTTTCATGGAAGAGAGGAAAGAACCCTTCATATGGTCTATTTTTACGCTCAGATATCCAAGTTTTTTATACATGTTTGAATAATGAGTGGGTTTTAAATAGCCAAGAGAAATGAGCAGAAATGAAGGAGGAAGGATATTGGAAGGGTAAGAATTATGGTTGCCTGTGATACCAGGAAACCAAATTCAAAGAGTAAACGTCATGAGCAGTGCAGGTGGAGGACATACATTGAAGTACAATACTTTGTTGTTTCAGAGGCAGAGTGTCCCTTTGTATCCACTTACTAGAAGTGTTTTAAATTGTATGTTGACAGAAAATTAGTATTCATTTATAATAGCTGAAGTAGTTCAGGATCCAGGAAAACATCCCTTCAATGTTAGAAGGTGAACTAAGCCATTAGCTGCATGAATACACTGAGAGGTGAGGGTCCCATCACAAGTTTAATTAGTCTTTTTTCATTTTTACTCAGTAGTTTTAATATATTACATATGTTCAAATATTTTTAAAAAATCTTTAGTGAGTTTCCAAACACTTTGTAAGGAATGGTAATGATACTATAGATGAGGAATATCAGTCATAGAAAAGGGCAGAAAAAATGTTCATATAAACTTAAAACTGATGTATAGTGAGGTTGTTTGGTTACCAAGCAGTTATAAGATAAGCCTATGGTTCTGTATGCCTTACAGAAGATTTTGTTAAGAATCAAAGTGTGAGTTAACAAATCAAGTTAAATGAACTATAGGTTAAAGGAGTGACATCATAGATGGTGGCAGGTAGCCCAGTGTTGTAATGGGCTTTGCAGGCCCTTCCTTGTAAGTGTGGGGCTGGGTGGCAGGGGTAGTGCCTGGCTTGGCTTTGTGGCCTGCACTGTGCATTTTCTTCTGTCTCCCTGGGTGTGGAGCAGGTGGGCAGAACCAAGTCACTGAAAGAATTAGGGTAGGGGAGGGAAGCTCAATCTTATTCCTGTGAGGCTTTCTTATATTTTCTAAATTAATCACTATACTATAAGGTGGGTGCATTTGAGATTAGTAATTTGTCCTAGGTCAAGTTCCTTAACTCTAGTGAGTGATGAAGTGGAAATCTTTACCATAAAACCCTAGTTCTGTTCATTTTATAATGCCTTAGAGACATTTGTCTCCTAGTATGTTGAGAACCAAGGAGGGAAAACATTCTAAATAAAAGAGTGCCTTCTAAAACATGATGCTGAAAACCAGACTTGTGTTGGCAGAATTCCTGGAAGACATGGTAAAAGCAGCTTTGTTTCCCATAGGTGACTCACGGGGCCCTCCAAACCATCACATGGGCCCACTGTCAGAGAGGCGGCATGAGCAGAGCAGTGGCCCTGAACATGGTCCAGACAGGGGACCTTTCCGGGGCGGCCAGGACTGCAGGGGTCCCCCTGATAGGCGTGGCCCTCACCCTGACTTCCCTGATGACTTCAACAGACCAGATGACTTCCATCCTGACAAGCGCTTTGGCCACCGATTACGTGAATTTGAGGGGCGAGGAGGACCTTTACCACAAGAAGAGAAGTGGAGGCGAGGGGGCCCCGGGCCTCCGTTTCCTCCTGATCACAGGGAATTCAGCGAGGGGGATGGCCGGGGCTCAGCCCGGGGCCCTCCGGGTACATGGGAAGGCCGCAGACCTGGAGATGAGCGATTTCCCCGGGATCCTGAGGACCCACGTTTTCGAGGGCGCAGAGAAGAAAGGTGGGGCAGATACTTTGTGGGTCTATTTCTTCTTCCCTGGAGCTTTTTATCTTTTCTTTCTCCACAAAGTCCCTTTTCTTTTTCACTTCACTTCTAGCCCTACCCTCTTTGTGTTTCCCAGTTAGACTTTAAAAAATATATATGCTTTTTAACATTTATGTATTTCTTTTGTCTTTATAATTTAAAAATCATTTTTTGCTTATCTTTTGGTTGTTTTAAAGTGATAGGAATATACTATACTATACTATAGACTGTATACTATAAAGTTTCTTGGATCTGATTAGAAATCACCAGGTTCTCTTGATTAGAATGATGAAATCATATAGCTATTTAGATTAAGAATGAAGAAATTGTTAAATAGTTTTTGTGAAATTGTCTAAAGACCCTAACAAAATGAAATCAAACTGAAAAATAATCTTGCTGTTAAAGTAGGTCAAGGTTAGGCTTAAACACTCCACTTGCTCAGTGTAAAAACAGAATACAAGAAATATGGAGGAAAAAAACAAACAAAAAATATCTAGTAAAAACAAGAATTAGTGAAATTACAAGTGAAACTCAATATTCAGTGATGATAATTGAGTATTTATTGTGTGCTAGATGGCCCCACTTAATTGTTACAGTGAACTATGAGATAGATGTTACTGTGAGCATTTTACAGATGAGGAATCACAGCGCCCATACTGTTCGGCACTCTTGCCTTCACCACTTCAGTGTTCCCTCCCATGTCTTTTCCCATCACAGCTCTCACTAGTGTTAGTAGGTTGACTGAGTTAAGGATTGGCAATTCCCATCCTCATGGGATGTGTTAGAAGAGAGTGGCTATTAAAAGGGCCATGAGGGTGAAGAGAGGGTTAAGGAAGCAGCTATCAGAATGGAGTTTTGAAAAAATTTAAGGGGTCCCAATTTTCATAAGGGCCTTTCTTTATGATACCCAGTATTCACTCTGAAATAGCTTTTTATGTCTGCACGTGCCTCATTTCCAATGGCTTTGGCATCAGCCTGACTTTAATTGATTTCTTGAGTCCCTGCATCTTGTGCAAAGGCTCAGATTTTACTAAGCCTTAATTTGTATTATATTTCATCTCTTGATAACAGTCTCACAGCCAAAACTCGTATGCTTTACAGCTTTGTGCTGCTCTTTAGATATGGCAGTTGTTCCTTTTGTGTATGCTGTTTCCTCTGCCTGGGACTCAGTTTCACAGATGTTTGTGGACCCAGTTAGTTCTTTCCTCCTGTATACCCAGTTCCCTTAAACTGCTTTCTATTTCTTCATAGCACTCAGTGTTGTGTGACACTAAGTAATATATTTATTTCTTTATAACCCATATCTCCCAGAAGCACCATACCTTTTGAAGGGCAGGGGCTTTGTTCATCCACCACTGTGTCCTCAGGACCTAGAGCAGTAGTGTTGTCATAGTAGGTGCTCAGTAACTTGAATAAATGAATCTGTTCAATAAGGAGAGGCATTTGAGAGAGGTCAGTCTATTAGGAGCTCAGGCTGCCATAACCAAATACCGTAGACTGAGTGGCTTAAACAATAGAAACCTGTTGGGTTGGCCAAAAAGTTTTATGCTTATGAAAGATACATTATAAAAGGTACATTTAAAATACATTTTACAGATGGGGGATCACAATGAAAACATTAATTTTCACCAGTACCTATCGATTTGGATATTTTGAGTATGTCAGCTGTCTCCCACTATTGGCTTCTAGTGGGCAGAGGCTAGGCGGTGCTGCTAAACACCTCTAATGCATAAGACAGCCCCACAGCAAAGAATTATTTGGTCAAAATGTCAGTAGTACCAAGAAACTTCACAAACCACCTTTGACACGTTCAATCATACACAGCATCTTCTCCATATACTGTACAAATCTTCTTTTTCTTTTGCATTTCAAGTGTGTTTTTACCTTTCTTTAAGTAATAAAGCATAGTATGCTGAAAATATTGTGTGTTTTCTTCCATCTTCAATATTAAAATGGCTGCACAAAAATTCACCAATTTTGATAAGATTTTTTTAAATGCACCTTGGTATAACAGCTGTCACGATACAATCTAACAAAATTGTTTCAAATGAAGTGAAAGACAATTAAGCCCTACCACAGCCATCATATGGGAAAAACCATAATGGACTTTTTGGCTAGCCCAATATTTTCTCACAGTTCTGGAGGCTGGAAGTTCCAGATCATGATCCAGCAGGATGGGTTTCTGGTGAGACTTCTCTTCCTAGCTTGCAGTCACCTTCTCCCTGTGTCCTCACATGGAAGAGGGAGAGAGAAACCTCACCCTGGTATTCCTTCTTACAGGGACACTAATCCCATCATGATGGCTGCACTCCAATAATCTCATCTAACTCTAATTGCCTTTCAAAGGCCCACCTCCAAATAGCATATTGGGGTTAGGCTTCAACATATGAATTATGTGGGGGGACATAAACATTTAGACCATAACAGGAGCTGTTTTCTAATTAGGGCAACTTAGATTCTCTCTCTCCCCTTTTGCACCAAAGAAGAGTGCTGCTGTGTTTGGGGCTTCTGCCCTGATTCTGTCTCAGGAAATCATTGCCCTCTACTTTCACTCTTCCTGTTCCACTCATCTCCTGGCAACTTCACCCTCACTGTACATTGTTGTTTAGCTAGTGTTCTGGTCACACCTTTATTTTCAGGACCATGATTCATAAGTTACCTTAGGGCCAAAAAAGTTATTAAAAAGATAGCTGAGTGGTGGAGTAGAAAAGGGGAAGATCTTTTTACAGTAAAACATCAAGTGATAAATGTAGGAGGAGTGGCAGAATTAGAAAATCACTTCTTTTATAGCAATTAATGTCATAGTTGATTCAGGCAAGGATCACTAGTGGATGCTAAAACCATTGGGTAAAAGATTGTGGGGAAACAGGTGAGTCTCACATCCCACAGATAACTTAATTGCAAAGGAGAAAATGTGTCTTTGCAATAGTGAAATTTGGTCGCCACCCACTAGTACATCATAAAAAAATGAGACAAATTGGTGTCACTTAGAAGGTATAAGTAGTTTGGTCAAGAATGAGGAAACAATCAGAAAAATTCAAATTGTGTTCTATTCTATAAAACACATGGATAGATCTCTCAAAAACGTCAAGATCACAAAAGATAAAATATGGGAGGGTGACTGTTCTAAACTACAGTAGAGCAGAGAGATGTGACTACCCAATAACAGTGTGTGGTTATGATTGAAATCTTTATTTTAAAACAAATGTAAAGGACATTTTGAGGACAACTGGAGAAAATTGAATGAGACTATAGAATAAATATTACATGTTAGGTTAGTAATAGTATTACTACATAGGAGAAATGGTGTTCTTAGAAGAAACATACTGAAGTATTCAGGGCTAAAGCATCACATTCCAGCTGAGTTTAGAATGGTTTAGAAATGAATTTGGAAACAATAGAATAAAGAGTACACACAGCACATGTGCAAAAAAGAACTGATTAGGTAAAGGATATATGAGCTTGTTCTGTTTTTTCAACTTTACTGTAAATTGTGAAATTTTCAAAACAAAATGGACTAAACAATAATTGAATGGAAACATGAAAAAGTAGAAGGCCTGGCCCGAAAGAAAGCCATGGACATGTGGCCCATGCATACTAGTCTTGTGCCCCTACCACCTTCTGACCCTTTCCCCACTTTCTGTGGTCTGTTGATGCTCTTTTGCTGGCAGGCCCTTATTCTGTTTCCCACAGGCTGCCTCTGCTTCCACAACACTCTGGGCTGGTTTGACTTCCCTGGTCCAGAATTCTTGAGAGACAGTGAAGTTGTTCACCTGCCAGGGCACCAGCCTGTTCTTACGCTGCATGCCTACCTGTACATCAGTCAGCTTTGGGATGGGCCCATTGGGGAAGTCCATAGTCACCCCTGAGTAGAGACTGTGGGGTGGGCCAGGGCAGATGGTAGGATAGATGCCCCAGAGCAAGTCTAGTACATTTGGCAGACATGAATCTATACTCCCCTTTTTTTTATGATACAAGTATTCATTATAAAAATTTAAATGATAATGAAAACCTTTGGGAGGCAGTGGTAAAGAGCCTGGGCTGAGGGGCAGGACTGGCTGAGTTCAGATGTGAACACTTAGGTGTGTTCTTAAATAAGTGACTTAACCTCTCTGTGCCTTGTTATACTCATGGGTAGAAGAGAGTTAGTCATGGTAGTAGTTTCATATGGTGGTTATGAGCATGAAATGACTGAATAATACATTTAAGGCACTTGACATATTAGCACTTAAAAAATGCTCACTACTATTTTTCCTAAAAGCCTGAAAGAAAATGAAAATAATCCTACATTCTGATATGTTTACTTCCTGCCTGTTTTTGCCTGTATATTGGGATTGTAAAATGTATACTTCAAACAATGTACAATTTTACCTTGTTTTGCACCCATTTAACGCATCATATTTTTTATATGCTTCTTTGAAACATGAACTTAGAGCTAGAAGGTGTTTCATTGGGTGGACATTCTGCTGTGTTTTTTCACAGCTTCAGAAGAGGAGCCCCCCCAAGACATGAAGGCCGAGCTCCCCCAAGAAGCAGGGATGGTTTTCCGGGTCCTGAAGACTTTGGTCCAGAGGAGAGTTTTGATGCTTCTGATGAAGCTGCCCGCGGAAGAGATCTCCGAGGACGAGGCAGAGGTGCCCCACGAGGTATGCTCTAAGGACACTGGCTCTGGGAAGAGCAGAGATGGAGAGGTAAATGTTTGGGAGCACACATGAAATAGTCTATTTTGCTCCATTGTGTAGGAGGAAGGAAGGGTTTACTTCCCACTCCTGATGAGTTCCCCCGTTTTGAAGGAGGACGGAAACCAGACTCCTGGGATGGAAACAGAGAGCCAGGTAAGAAAGAATTGCCTGTAGCTTATGGTAACTCAAGACAAATAGTTTAAGGACCCCTCGGGGCCTGAGACCCTCTTCCAGGTCCACCAGCTCCTCTTTTTTCCAACTCACTGTCCACTTGAGGATGGACTGTTTCATAGCCTTCACCCAACAGCATTCTATCACAGGAGATTAGAGATTGAATGCAGAAACAGATGGCAGAATCCAGCTTTCTTTCTCATTTCTCTATAAATGAGGCAGGCATTTATTTATAAAGGGATTTATATAAATATGAAACAATAGCATTCTTTTCACTGAAGTGTGTTGTTTTTGGAAAATGTAGTGAAGGGAATTAGTTTTCTCAGTCTTAATTGCCAATATGGCAAATATTATTAGATATGACTCTCATAAATGAAGTATCTTTGGGTAGCTCAGTAACTCTTAAGTTACTCTTTGAGTTACTGAGCACCCCAAAGAACTTCTGGGATTAAAAAGTTTGATATCCACTTTTCTGGACCTTACCTGCCTTTTACTTGAAGTGGTATGTTGATATCTAATCTTGACTTGTTTAATGTATTCATGGTATGACTTATTACCTGGCAGGTATTCAACAAGTGAGTATTTCTAGCATGAATGATTGTTGGTTCTCAAGTTGCTATTTATTCTTAACAATATAATTTCTGTCTGCTGTAGGTCACACTCTAATACAATGAGACTGTCAGATTCTTAGCTTTGTCCATCTGTGTTTCTCTTTCAGGACCAGGTCATGAACATTTTCGTGATGCTCCCCGCCCGGATCATCCCCCTCATGATGGTCATTCCCCAGCTGGCAGAGAACGATCGTCTTCCCTCCAAGGCATGGACATGGCATCCCTGCCACCCCGAAAGCGCCCCTGGCATGATGGACCAGGGACCTCTGAACACAGAGAAATGGAAGTCCCAGGGGGTCCTTCTGAGGATCGAGGAGGCAAAGGTAAGTGGAGGCCAGTGATTCCAGTTCTGAGAACTGTGGATGCCATAGACCTGCCAAGAAGGCTACAGGGGACACTGGAGGTCTTATCTCCAGGCCAGCCCCATCCCAGGGTATGCCTGTTCCACCTGTCCCCTACTAGGGTGTCAAGGGTCCTTTCTCCATTTCTACTCTCCAGGGCTTATGCTGTGTAAAGGCACATTGTGGTACAAGTGCAGTTTGCTTGGGCTTACCCCACATCCAGTCAGAGCTCCCCCTTGTGACTACAAGCTCAGTGTCCACTTCATTTCAAGAATCTCTGCTTTATTCAAATTCAGCTCTTTGTCAGGGTGCCCAGCACAGTCTCTGCTGATGGTACTTTCTGTGAGACTCCAACCTGGCAAATGTGCTCCACTGATGGCTGCTCTGAGCCCTGGAGGGTCTCATCAGTGGCAAATGGAAGCGCCCTCTTCCAGGTTTGTGGGGGTTTTTTTTAGCATGGGCCTGGAAGGAACATTATATGTACCCACAGTCACAAACACTTTGGGGAACATTGTCTGGAAACAGTTGTTTTCAGGCGGTGGCAATAAGAGTATTTCTAAATCTTGAGACTGGATCTTTATTTTAGTTGCAGCACTTTTAGGCAGGAGCTGTAGCCTATGTGCTATGGTTTTGGAGGCTGCTTGAACAACTGCCCATGGGCCCCAACTTGGGCCCACTCCCCAGTTAGCCCGAGTCCCTGACAAAGTTCTGGCTTTTGTTCTTGACAGTTGTTTGGTTCTTCTCAGAAAAAGCCCCTCAGAAATTATCTCATGTCACCAAGAGATCTATCTCCCCATCCAAGCAGATTTTGTTGCTGGTCTGTTTGGGCACTCAGGACACATTTGTGGGTCCTCGACTGCAGCCACATGGCATGGAAATTACATACCAGCTGATGACTTCTTTGCCCTTACACCTTCTGATGGGCCTAGGCTTCACTTTGTAAGAAAAGAAGCCAAAATTATTCATTGGGCTAGCTTTCCTAACCTCTTTGTCTTAACTGGATTCAATTCCATTAAAAATTTTAAGACAAAATAATGTTTTCAATAATCTGATAATGCATTATGGGGGATGTAGCCAAATCCTGTCATCTCATGAGAAAAAAATGTTTTTAAATGAGAATTTTAAAAAGTAAAGTTTGTGTCCAAATCTGGAACAAATAAAACTGTCCCTGGGAGAAATCATTCTAAAAGCTAATGTTTTTTTCTACACTTTTGTTTTTCGAGAAATATATTATTTCACTATTTAAAAGGAAATCAAAAGTACCACAGTTGTGGAGTAAGCAAACACTTGTTTTACTTATAATTACCATCATCATAGTTGCTTCCAAAGTTTAAGTTAGTGCTTTTTAGGCCTTCCCTCAAAATACCTCTGATGGCTAGGAGGGTGAAGATACACCTCCCATAGATTAATGACCTAGTGTATCCATGACTTCTAGAAGGTGCTCCATCTTTATCTTTTGGCTTCTGGTTGTCTCTGTCATAAAGCCTTGGGGAACATGTCTAGTTGTTGTGGAGGAGCATGGCTACAAGCCAGGATGGGAATGAGACAGTGGTCAGGAAGACGGCGAAGGCACTTTTTGTGCTTCAAATACTAGTGTCAGAACTTTGTACTACAGAAAGACCCAGAAGTGTTCTACTGTCATCACAGAATAAAAGTTTGTACCAGGAGTTAGCAAGAGTCTCTGATATAAAAAAGTCACATGTGAAATCAATGTTTCCTTTCAGGCCGAGGGGGCCCAGGACCTTCCCAAAGAGTGCCAAAGTCTGGGCGTTCCAGCTCCTTGGATGGAGATCACCATGATGGATACCACAGAGATGAACCTTTTGGGGGCCCTCCAGGCAGTGGTACCCCTTCTAGAGGGGTCCGGAGTGGCAATAACTGGGGTAGAGGGAGTAACATGAACTCTGGCCCACCAAGGCGAGGAGCTTCAAGGGGTGGTGGAAGGGGTCGGTAGAAGGTGGGAATGAGTACTCCTTGGCATCTCTGGACAGTATTTAATAACTTCTTGTGGACTTAACAAGAGAAACAAAAGGAAACCTGCACCTTGTAGCCCTGAACTCTTATTCTGGGGCAGCTGAATTCCAGGAGCCCCTAATGAGGTCTTCAAGATGAAGAGACTGCTGCTGGTCACCCAGAGTAGCTGGCCTTTTGTCCTGTACACCCTCACTGCCCCAGCTCCTACATTGTTTTGTGAAGATAGAAGCTGGAGTTTTTTTTTTGTTGTTGTTGTTTTTTTTATCAGGAGACAAGAAGCACCTCCTCCACAAATTTAAGTTGATGTCCAATTGGAAATTTGTTTCTATATGTACAGTTTGTCAGAAAAAACATTGTTTTTGTATGAATACAGAATGTGATTTATGCAAGAATTAACAGAAAACAACTAGTTGTGAAGTGCTTGCCTTAAGGAAATTCTTAGTTTCTATTGCATCCAGTCTGTTGAAGGGTATACAATTAGTGCTTATGCTTGTAAGCAAACTTGATGAAATCTCTTAAGTCAGGGGTGTCCAACTTTTTGGCTTCTCTGTGCCACACTGGAAGAAGAGTTGTCTTGGGCCACACATTAAATACACTGCAACATGTAATCACAAAAAGATCTCAATGTTTTAAGTAAATTTACGACTTTTGTGTTGGGCTGCATTCACAGCCAACCTGGGCCACATGCAGCTCAGGCTGCTGGTTGGACACCCCTGCCTAAGTCATCTAAATTAATTACATCTGTGAACTTTTTGCTCTGGCAGATGGAGAAGTACACTCCAAGAAAAAATTATTCTGGTTATCCAAGTAGGGGTTCTCCCATAGGTACATCTGGTAATCACCTTAGACTTGAATTGCCTTTGTTCTGACTAGAGGAATTTGATGCAAGCCAGATATTAATATGTATCCTTTTGACTACTGTAAGTCAATTTTCACAAACTTTAAATTGAAGACTGGAACAAAATGTTTGAAACAATTTTGCAAAACTTCAGTAATTTCTTTCTTCCTCTAATATTAGCTCTGTGAAAATACCCACCTTTAAAGCAGAAGATAGGCCTAACCTAAAGTAAACCAGGAAGTTCTTGTCTACACATATTACTTTAGTTTTAAATACAACATTTGGCTCAGTTTGGATTGGGTGCCAAAAGTTCAGTTTGAGGTAACTCCATAAAACTCTCTATACTGATCCTTACCTTTTTTTTTAATAGGGAGAAAGCTTTTATTATTCAAAGGAAGTCCATAGTGTCCCTAACACTGCCAGTTTCAGTTTCACATTAGAGACAAGTCTGCTTGGCACACTTAGCACTGGAAGTCTCAGTAGTTGCTTAGAAAAAAAATCCCTTTTCTAAGGGATAGTTGGACTTTATGTAAAAAACCTAACTGGCTCTCTATTAATGTAAAAAAATGGTAAAAGCTAAGTTATTTCTGCAGAGAGAAAAGCAATAATCATGTTGCTTTTTGGGTGTTAGAACCTATAAACTACAAATGAATAATTTTCACTTTATTTTGAAATTAAAGACATCTTAATTATTAGCACTTCTGTAAACATGATTAGGAAGCTCAACATTGCTTTAGGTGTGTGGATGTTGTTTATTAGCCCTCAACTGATAGATCTTAAAAAGAAGATGTCATTAATTCTGAAGCTGAGAAGGGATTCAGAGACCAAACCCTGATCAAAATTAGGCTCCTTTATGAGATTTATTTGGTAAGAAACTTTATCATCTTAACATTTTAGGATTTGACTTTAAAACATAGTACCTCAGTAAGCAGATAACTATCACATTTTGAATATGAATTCATTTAGAAAAAAGTGAAACCTCTACATTATATATTTATGAAATACTTAAGAGATACACATTTTAAAACATCACTGTCAAAATATGTTGTGCTTTGGATTTTATAAAAGCTAGATTTTCAGTGTTGAATTCTTGAGAAAATGTTGGGAATACAATTTTTAGAAGTAACATCAACATAAAAATGTGCTAAAATGATAAAATCTTCAGTTCTGCAAGTTCTAAAGAAATTTAGAATTAAGAGATTTAACTAGGGGGTAGAAAGAGCAGCCAATTGCACAAGACTTTTCAGTTAAATAAATCACTCCCTGAAAACAGCATTTGCTTTTACAAACACCCTCTTGGTTTTTCCTTTTGAGGGCAGTAACCATATTTACTGGTCCAGGAAGAAGGCAGTATTTTTAAAGAACACTATGGGAGGTGGGTGCATGAAGTAGCCTGTAAGCCTCCCGTGGATGTTGGTCACTGTAGTACCCATCAGGACCTAATACATTTTGAGGCTGAATGAAGAGGCAGTGTTCTACTGCTGCCTGACATACTATTTAAGCAATACTGGACTCCAGCTCCAGAGAACAATTTTCAAATTGTGCAGTCCAATTCTGTCCAATTACAGAAAAGTGGTTCTCAAACTTAGCTGAAAATGGGTGATTGAATAGATCTGAGGTTTGGCTCTTCAAGTAATTTTGATGTGAACTGAGAACAAATAAAACAATTTTAAAATTCTAAATAGATTTTAAATTCTAGTTAATATATAACTAGTGACAACACATAAAGTGTTATGGACTCATGAGAATATTCAGCCCATACTTTGTGGCAGTAAATTAGGGTGTGCAATCAAGTCATAAGTGCTGAATCTAAAAGAAGGAAATTTGGCAATTAGATATGAAAAGCATCTTACATTTTATTAGGATTGGCTTACAAGTTAGTTTAAAAAGCAGATAGTAAAATTAAGAATTTTGATTAGACTGGTTTCCATCAAACATGGAACTCTGGATGTAGAATTCTTTCTCCCAGGGGTCCGTCACCACAGTTCTATCCAGGAATCTCTCTGCACCTTACTAGATACAGTGATTCTTGGGGCAGAACACGTCCTTTTAAGGTCTATCACTTGTTTTTGCTATCAATAAAGATTTTTAGGTCCATCGCTTTCATTATTAGTACAATTTTCCTCTAACTTTATAAGGCACAATATTTACGATTTCGCTAATAGAAAAAAAACGAGGTAAAGCCTTTTTAACTAAAATATTTACAAAAAGTCAGATGGCTAAATTTTATGTTTAAATCGGTACTATCATGGATTCACCTCACATTGAAAATAATTTTCAACAACCAAAGAAAACAAGCTGATATAAACTAAAACCTACCACTATATTTTTAATATAAGGTAAAAGAAAAATCTAAGAAAAGTCACAAGGGCAGCTAATTAGAGGCATTTTTTTAATACTGTGAGCTTACATTTACTGTGGTCTTACATTAACCACAGTTAATGCATAAGCAATTCATGTTTTACAGCATATCACCAACTCAATGACCAAGTCTCATTTTCAGAGCACAAGCTACCGAGTGTAGAAGAAAAAGCTGAAATTGATTTTTCGAAACTGCTCTTATCTGCCGCTCCGTGTCTACAGATTGGCTGGCACGGTGAAGGCGGTCTCTGCCTGCGTGGTCTGGGAGCTGGCAGCTGCGGTCCTCGGCTCAGGGCGCTGGCGCTGGCTTCTCAAACTGGTAGCGTTTTGGCAAGGCCACTACTGGAGCACATCCGCCCCAGCAGTAAGCGAAGTGCTGTGCCGGCGCCTCGAGGAAGCAGGTCAACCAAGGCAGCCAACAGCGCGGCCACCTGTGCGCAGGCGCCTAGTGCCGTGAGGAACGTACTGCGTAGGCCCAGCGCCGCGTACAGCGTAGCGCCCAGCGTAGCCACGTAGGACATCACAGCCCGCGAGGGCGCCTCCTCGCAACTCAGTAGACACCTGTACGCTGCCCCGCCCCGCAGCATCGTTCCTCCAGCCAGGGCTAACGCGGAGCCTAGCGACCAGAGTATCCCGAATTTGCGGGCGCGCAGCAGGAGCACGGGCACGTAGCACGCGGCCAGGCCGAAGCAGAGCGTGGCCAGTAGCAGACACACGCCGCTCGCCGCCAGCCGCTGCGCGCGCGTCACTTTGGGCAGACAAGTGAGGCCCGTCTCCGGCCCCGTGGTGCTCCGCGCCCACTTCCAGCGCAGGGCCAGCCACGCCCCTACTGTCCCGTCTTCCGCCTGGTTTTCCTCTGCCTTTTCCGCGGTGAGCAGCGGCTCTGTGGCCGCCTGTCCGCCCGCTTTCCCCTGCGCCAAGTAGTCCTGCAGTTCGCGGTGGATACCCGCCATCTTGGGCCGAGAGCTGCATTTCACTTCCGGTTCTGTGGTGACGGTAGCTGCTCACCGCTGTAGTTCGGCTGTGGCGCACGGGGTGGGGCCTGCAGCCCGCGCGGAAGACTGTAGTTAGCCCCGGGCCGACTCAGCTGTCTTTACACCCCTGGGCAGGAGGCCTGGCCTGCGCATCTGCATTTACTCTCCCAGCGCCGGATCTTGTTCCTTGGCGTGATTGTTGTTGCAGCCTGAGTAAATCACGTCAGCAACATTTAGTTGGTGGGGGTTGGTGTGGCTATAAAAGGATAGGTGAGGGACTCTTGATGAAACTATCGGTATCTTTATTTTTTTAATATAAATTTGAAGATATAATTGGCTTTATTAAATCATTTGTGATTTGGGCAGCATATCGTCTAGCAATCATAGAGGTGCTCCTGTACTGCTTGTATTTTGACCTTATGGATGTCAAGTAACCTGATTGTGTGCTATGTAGTTGTACAAGACATTACAATTGAGGAAACTGGGTCAAGAGTACATGAGGTCGTTGTATTTCTAAAACTATGCTAACTTGCGATTATGTCAGTAAGTGTAATTTTTTAAAGGTAAGACATGCAGGACTGGAAACGCAAACTGTAACAAGCTGCAGGCAGATCTGTTGAGAGTTTGGGTAAGTTGTATTTATTGGCAAGGAGTGGAAAGGCGGGAGAAGTCTAGCAGGAGGCTAAGTAGTAAAATTCATTGGCTTGTGTACAGGGAGAGCTTCTTGACAATGTTCATCGGTAGGAAGTACTTTTTGGTCTCTGTAGGTCAGATCTTTCCTGGAAATCACTTTCTCAGTTCTGAAGTTCTGTTTTCCTGAGGGCGCATGTGTGAAAGCCTCCTTTTCATATTCTCTGGTTCCATTTTAGATTGAAATCCTTTACTTGATAATAATGGTGATCATGCTGATCACTTACTGTGAGCAAAATCATTAAAATGGCTACTATAAAGAAAAAAGTTTTGATCAGATGTGGAGAAATCGGAATGCTTATACACTATTGGTAGGAGTATAAGATGGTACAGCTGCTGTGGAAAACAGTATGGCAACTCAAAAAATTAAAGATAGAACTACCATGTGACCTGGTAATTCTTCTGGGCATATATTCAAAGAATTTGCCCTGGCTGTTATGGCTCAGTAGGTTGAGTGCCGGCCTGCCAGACAAAAGGTTGCTGGTTCAATTCCTGGTTGGGGCACATGCCTGGGTTGCAGGCCAAGTCCTCAATTGTGGGGTGTGCGAGAGGCAACTGATTGTTTCTCTCACACCTCCATGTTTCTCTCCTTCTGTTTCTCCCTCCCTTCCTTTCTTTCTAAAAATAACTAAAAAAAGTAAACAGAAGAAAAAAGTTAAAGCAGGGTCTTGAAGGTAGCCACAAGGTATAATCAACCCAAGTGTCTTATCCACAGATGAATGACTAGTAGTTTGTACAGACAATGGGATATTACTCAGTGTTAAAAAAGAAATTAATTCTGACATACAACATGAATGTACCTTGAAGACATGGGATACTAAGAGAAATAGGCTAGTCACAAAAAGGCAAATACTGTATGATTCCACTTGTGAAGTACTTAGGTCAAATCACAGGGAGAGAGTAGAATGGTGGTACATATGATATTACCTAATCATTTATATAGCTGTGAGATGGATGTACTGGCATCCCATGGGACTGGGCACAGTACCTATGATACAGAGAGGTCTGATCAGGTTACTGAGGAGGAATAGGGAGGGGCGTAAGAGGAGGTTGCTGAGGCAATGCTAAACAGCCTAGTACAGGATTAGTTGAGAAGCTGAACACCTCCAGTGCACATGGTATTATGGGCTGGAAGATTTAAACAGAAGGAAGGCAGAGACTTGCTTTCTCAAGGGTCCCTGGATGATTGTGCTGTAGCTACCTGCATTTCCCAAAGGGTGGCATTTTAAATGGGAGAAAGAACTCTGGGGCAGCCTATGATTGGGCTGGCCTGGAAGAGGATGGCAGGGTTATTTTTTGGGTATTCTAGAGGGGACAGGCTCTGAGGCAGAAGCCTGCCATTCTTCCAAAATTGTGTAGCTTTTGTATCTTCTGTTGTTTTAGTTTGTAAACTAACCTTATAGAAATAAGATACTTAAAAACTAATAGGTGGAATGATAGGGGAACTCAAGAGGTAAAGATTTTAGCTTTTGTTGATAGGCTTAAGTGATTAAAGCTGGAAGTTAAGAGTTAAAAAGATTTCAGCCTTAGTAGCATGTGGAGCTGTTATTTCTAAAATTGCGTAGTTTTTGAATAGGCTCCTTTTTTTCACCAAACCTCTGCCTTCAGAATTTTGCCTAGAGGGTGGCAGCTGGGCAGCAGGACCTCACTTGCTGTTCAGTAATACCTACAGAGCTGTTGTGCTCACTGCTTCTGAGACAGGATAGTAAGAAGCTAGGAAAATTCTTGGGCAAGTGGGATGGGGAAACAGACAAAATTAAAGCCAAACAGTTTGAGCAATTTACAAGCAACTAGCCCTTATCTCTCCTAACCAAAGACACTTGAGAATAAATGGTTTATACCTCTCCTCTCTAACCGGAGAATACGTAACTTCCCTGGCCATAAACCACTGGCCTGGGGGATGTTGGAGGGGGGAGGCAGCATGGTGGGAGGAAGAGGAATTCTCACATCAATGGAGAGATAACACCAGAACAAAGGAGCCAGCTTGGAAAGAAGCTGTGTATCTCCCTTTCAGCCCCCCTCCCAAGAGAAACAGCATATCTGCGCTTCCCCTAGAATTTTCCCCTCCCAAATTCCCTCATTTCCCCTATATAAACTTGCTTCTGAAAGCTCAAGGTAAGGTGAATATTAGGGTTTTAACTCACCACCTTCTCATACTGGTAGTCTCTATGATATTAAATGTGCAATTATAATCCAATCCTTGTCTCTGCTTTTTGGCTGAGCAGTGACAGGCTGCAATGGGCCCTGGACTTGGTTGTCCTCTGGTTTCTATTCCACAGACTGCTCATGAAGCCCACTTAGGTTTGTACTTTGCTTCTTTCGGTTGAGGTCAAATAGTCGGGGTTGGGGGGGAGGGGGTTGTTCCCCTCAAGGGTGGATGAATGGGTAGTGGATAATTGTTCTGAGGAAGATTGTCCCATGCCAGCATGAGGGTGCTCCCGCAGGAGTTTTCTACCAAAGAGAAAAAAAATTTCCCCCCTCAAAAGAAAACCACCTATGGAAGATTTCCTGGAAGGCATGATGTAGGGTAAGTGGAGGGAGTCTGGCTTCCTTGCCCAGGTGTCTGGGTAACTAAGAGGAGCAGTGTTCCTATAGCCTTGGAGGGGCCTGATAACCATCGTTCTCAACCTTGAGACTGGGTCCCATAACGTGAAGTGAGCTTGCATGCACAGAATTATGTAATGTTCTGGCAGTGTTCCGGCTTTGTTTCCCTCTAGTGTTTAAACAGGTAGGGACTCCCTGCTGGGGGTGAAGATGATGAGAGACACACAATGGGACAGGTGCCACAATGGGTGCCATGCTGGGGAGCAGGGACCATGACAGGAGACATGCAGATAGACATGCGGCTTGCAGCATGTGTGGCTCACCCACCCATGAATAAAGGCATGTCAGACATCCCAATGGCTCCATGAGGAATATTTTTCCATCTGCATGAATACCATTAACCTGCCTGGCCTTGAAGGGGGCAATACACATATGAAAGAATCTGAGGCATTAAGATAGGAATGAGGAAGTTGTTAAAATGGTCCATGAAGTGGGCTGTGAAAGAATTCACAAAGAGAAGAAAGTGTAGAGAATAAAGTTTTTATTCATGTTCCAAGAGAGGAGAGCCTTAAATCACCTTAAATTCACCAGCTCATGAATAGCCCAATAGCCTTAGAAGTAGTTAACCTCTGTTTCACCCTACCTAATTATCATGCTATTATAATGAATTAGCATTGTGGTTTGAATGCTGGCCAACAAATTGGGAAATGTTTAAAGCAAGACACTGGGTAAAGCATACTCCTTGGTGGTATTACCCATTACCTGGTTTTTCTCCTCATGGTGCTTCTGTAATCACTGAGACTGAGATAACCACTTTGGCTTTGCACACTGCTCATGCATTGAATGTTACACAGGATTCCTTAAGACTGTTAAATAAGGAAGTATATCAATTAAGAAGAGTAGCCTTGCAAAATCATATGGTCTTAGATATGTTTACTGCATCCCAAGGTGGAGTGTGCTCTAATAGGAGCTGAATGTTGTTTATATGTTCCTGGTGGCCATCACAATGTTAGTGAAGCTTTACAGGCATTAGCTTCTGAGGCCTGTATCATGGAATGCCTGACAGGTGATCTCCTGCAGGAATGGTGGGCATCTCTAACCACTTAATGGTGGTGGGTCCTTGCTGTCTTGGGTGGCAGTGCTTGTGTTTTAGCTGCTTGTTACTATAGTCCGTACTGCTGTTGTGGTTTATGGGTGCAGGGTTCTGCCCTCCTCGCCAGGAAGTGCTTGCAGAAGACATCCTTGCATAGATTGTATGGTGAAAAACCCAGGAGTGGGTTGTAGGGTAAATGGAGGCAGTCTGGCTCCCTCACCCAGATATCTGGGGAACTAAGATAAGCTGTGAGACTGGGTCTGATAAATGGTTCCCGTAACATTGAGTGTGCTCACATGCGCAGAATCACACTGTATTATACAGTATTCTGGCTTCCTGCCAGCTTTGTCTGTATTTACTATATAAGGTGGACAGGTGACATGCAGAGACACGCAGGGACATGCAGGGTGACACATGGCTCGCAGCATGTGGATTGCCCACCCTTGAATAAAGACATATCAGACATTCTAGCAGCTCCATGAATATTCTGCCTGCTCAAATCTGATGAACCTGCCAGGCCTTTACAGACTGCAGTCATGCCTCCTGAAACATGACAAGATATTTCAGTCTTGAGTAACTATGGTCAGAAATTTGGCAAAATGGAAAGTTTTATAAGATTTTTTAGTCTCCTCAACAATTCACAATCTGTCTTGCAGACAATCAGAAATATAAACAGCTCACAAATATTGAGACTAAGCAAACCAAAGGAAAA